TATATATATATATATATGCATTAATGAAGAGAAAATGTATGTGTCGGCGACACAGTTAGTCGTCAATTAGAAAATTCTGTATCGAAAATCTGCAGTGTAGCAGCTAAATATTTTGAAACCTTTGTTCTCTATTTTTTACCCTTTAGAATCAAATTCTCAAATTCATCTGACGGGCCAAAAATTATAGTCGGCGGGCCAATTTTGGGCCCGCCGACTATAATTTTTGGGCCGGGGGTTGCCGATGCCTGTTCTACGGTGTTACAAACTGAATGTTACATTAGTTTTATCACATGTCAGCGGTTATCTAACGATTAAAATTGTTTGTTCAGATCCAGATGGAACAGTGTGAAAGAATTTACAGAAAATGAAGAACTGAGCAAAAAACAAGCAAAGAAATACGAAAAATTGAACATGGTTTGCTTGAAAGTGAGAATATGCAAAGGAATAATGTTTTAAACAAAAGCTGATTGCGAGTAGACTATGATTTGTTCAGTTTACGATTAAATAAGTTCAGTTTTGATTTTTAGCAATCCTTTTCCCACAGAGCCTCATTTTATTATTTCTGCTTTGAGAGGCTTGATTTGTCATTATTTGATGTTGAGACATTGAGTTCGATAACGGTCGCAAGATGAATTCAGAAAACAATTAACTCTAAAATTCTAATCAAAATAGATGAAGTAAAAGTTAACCGGCGATTCTGCTCAATAAGAGCATGCCTCCTTTGCGAAAGAAAGCTTTGTCGTTCCTCAGAGGACGAGCATGGACTGATTGTCGATGGAGTATTCCATGTGGACTGTGCTGGCGATTCAATCGCTGCAGTTGAGACCAAATTCAAATCCATTTCAGCATCAATCAACGGGGAAAGAACGTGATTCGTTTCCAACGGCTGTGAATCTATTTCATCCTAAGCCTTTCATTTATCAATCCAACCAACAACACAAATATATTTTTTAAAATCTAAATAAAGAAAGAACGTGACTAATGAACAAACAAAAGTCGAATGAAATAAAGCTGCAGTCTTAATTTCAAAAGATCGAAGCTAACAATAAAAACACCTCGTTATCGTCACCATCAAGTTCAAGCACAGACGAATCAGTGAGCAGACGACCTTCGAGAATATTTTCGATAGTTTCCGATACAGAGCCAGATATGCGCAAATCATTTACGATTGAATTAACGTCCACCTGTGGAAACATTTCACGAACTTGCTCAGCCATTGAGCTCAACTGCGAATTCTCACTTCCACTGAATCTGTTTAAATTACATTTATATCATTCACTACAGTTCCCTACAACATATTTAACAATATTNTTTACGATTGAATTAACGTCCACCTGTGGAAACATTTCACGAACTTGCTCAGCCATTGAACTCAACTGCGAATTCTCACTTCCACTGAATCTGTGTTTAAATTACATTTATATCATTCCCTACCACATATTTAACAATATTTTTCTCCTCTTCGAAAAGCAGACCATCTAAGTGAAACACTTGAATAATTCACAAGCTCTATGTATTACCTTTCGTTTCTGGGGTGATGCGGAAAACCACTATGAGTGAACTCGAGTGAAAACGATGGTAACCAGTCAGCGATCCTGGTACCATCAAAATGAAAAAAGTGGGTTCTCGGTGCAATTGTGGCATTCGGTAGATTATCATCGTTAAAAGACGACTGCAAATTAAGACGACACGTTGGACATGAACTATCTTGTTCTAACCATCCCACTAAGCACCTTAAATATATGATTATTAATATTATACCAACAACACCATAACATCTTAATATTCAAATAGTTGAAGCTTATGAGATGAGCTCAATAGATGATCCATATAAGAACATTGATGCAGTCAACATTACTAAACCTCTTATAAAATATGTCTTATCCCAAAATCATTTATTATCCAAATGAGTGATTACTTTTGAACAGTGTATTAACAGACTGTAGGTTTGTGAAGAAAGATTAGCATAATAATAACCACAAAAAGCGCGCTTGCAGCGACCTCAATTATTCACGATAGCTGATTCATATTACATATTGTGATGGTCTGGAATCGCTTGAATGCGATTAAAATATTGATGAATAAACTATTATTGCGACTGTTGCAAAACAGTTTCTCAAAATCTTGTTCAAAGAAGTCAAAAATCCTTCAAAAAAAGTCATCAAATTTATTTTACCATTCATGAAAATAATGGGTACATGGAAGACGACGAGCCGAATCCATTTTCTCCCAACAAATTGCACACCAATCCGTTAACGAATACAACTCGTCTTGCGTCGCTTCTCGGTAGCTGAAAGCATTCAACAAATGGTTCATTGCAGGAATTTTATTGATTTATTTAAGAATCGCAATATTAATGGACTCATAAAGTCAACTCATTAGTTTTTATTGAGCATTCGTCTTCAGTTACTAAATTTTATGAAGATCACTTAAAGAATCATATCATAAATGTAATGAAAGGATATTTACTGTGAAAGAATGTGTGCAGTGATGCGTTGATGCGTGAGATGACGTGTGATACGTGTACTAAGTGATTTATAGAAGGAACGTATTTGCATTGATAACGCTACACATGCTATACTCAACACAATTTGCGAGTACAACTGAAAACAATATTCATTTAGTGGTGCCGCAGTAACAGTGACGAGCATATGCAATGCATCCAAGAAATCACTGCCATAGAACATCAGAGAAAATTGAAGAGTGAAATGATTTGAGTTATAAATAAGCAAATGCTAAATGAATACAAAATTCAGAGATAAAAATAACCAGCATGTGTGTGTAATGGAGTAGTTCAGTAGAATCGATAAGAACATCGTAAATAAGATTCAAATAGTATGAAACATGCACGGATGAATGTCGTGAGAGAAGATGGCCGATACGTGATGATAGAATTGCTGATTTGCATGTTATATAAACACTACGTAGCAACAATTTGAAAACCTGAACTGTTCTAATATTTTAGGTTTATTTCCGAAACGACAGAAGCAAATTAGAATATTAATAAAATACGAATAAACAAACAAAAAACTGAGCAAATAAAATTTGAACGAATAAATAAATTGAAAATTTGGACGCTTTCTATATTGCCACCGTTAGTTTTTGTCGCTTTTATAATCAGCATCACAGTAAACGCAAAAAATGGTTTAGAAGGCATCAACAGACACTAGTTTATGAAGATATCTTCTGTAATACATCGAAACTGAACAACACTGCATCGAAAAACTGATTTTGAACAAAGGTTAACAAACTCACATCAGCAAGAATGAATAATGAATAACTGAATGGTAAGATTGTAAAACAATAGAAATTGAAGAGCGTCAGAATCCATGATGAGCACAGTGAGACAACACCGATTATGAGAATACGTAACCGAAGTGATTTGGATGGTAAAGACGCAGAAAACTGAAAGTTTTTAGAATGTGTAATTTCTGTCGATGACACGAAAGCAAACTGAAAGAAGAAGGTCGCATCTATTCATTTTTTGATTCCATTCCACACTATAAATTCGACTACACAATTTATTGCTGCATTTATCTCTATTATCATATGGTGAAGACTGATAAATTCTGAAATTTAAGCTTCTCCTCGCTAATTGGAACTGTCGTAATAAGCGTTCCACTGAAGAAGGATCGATTCAAGAAATAATCATGCCAACAAATTTTTGCCTAATGAAACCCTTGAGAAAAAGTTGATCTCTTAACTCCAAATTATCATTCTCAGTCAGTTCTGATAATATAACTCACCCTTCATGATATCTCATAATGCGCCGAATGAACGTCACTGAAATGTATTTGTTCTATTACATTGAATGGACACAAAAAAAGAACTCACATATTCGAGTTTCTGAACGGCGACTAATTGAAGAACGGCAAAAACGGTCAAAATAGCGAACCAAATAATCCAAGCGACCAGCTCTTCAACAACCGTACTGTTCAATACACCAAATAAAAATAATACTTTATATAAGAGCCAGTTGCAAAGCCGATCACGTAGAATGGTTGATTCCTTCAATTTTTCTCAACAATATCATCAAAAATGCTTAAAACATTGATCCTGAATATGAACTAAACACACAAACAAATCTAATCAGCATTCATCATTTTATGATAAGAATTATTGAGAAATATTTTCAAGCATAAGTTTGAAACGTGTAAACGAACATGCACAGCAAGATCACCAAATGCCAGATACACGAGTACTTTGCAAAAAATAGCCGTAAAGGAGCAAATTGTATTGATTGAAACCTGTATATAAAGAATCACTCTGATTGATATTCATGACAATATATGATGAAATCAATGAACGTTCAATGCTTTTCGTGAATTTACATACTAATATAATATCGATTTGGACTGCTACATGAAAATTGAAACAAGATTGGTCATTCACGATGGCACAGCATGAATTAATTTGCATTTTGCTCTATCTTTATACTTTTAACGGTTGAAAAAAGAAAATTTCGATTGAATTATGAGTAATAGAACCTCTTTTAGGAAAACTATGGATTCTTGAATGCAATGAAGAAAGAGCATGGAAATGAGTAGAACACTGGGTATCGAGTGCGGTAGTGACTTACCCAAACGGAAACAGGATTTAAGAATGAATAATAAATCCGCCGGAAAGTAGATGAAGAAGCCAAAAAATCGGCAAGAGAGGAGAACCTTTCCGGAACAACGCTTCGTATTCGAACAGCAACCATTTCATTGAGCTGAAAATGAGCGCATCCCCTTAAGAGGCAAGGAAAATTTGCGTTTCCTTAATCACTTCTGCACAATCAATCAAGCAATACACCATTTCTATTGTTTGATGAACAAGAAGAAGTAAATATCTTCATCCAAATCGAATCAATTACGGATCAAGGTTCTTTTCATTCAGTTCAAACAATTCAAACTTTCACAGGTCATATCAAAATCAGATAAACCTTCACTACTCGTTTCTGGAGAATATTTTATCATTTAACTTTGCGTAAGGCTCCTTGAAACAATTTGTTTTGGATTTATTTTCCTTCAAGTGATATAGTATCCTCTTGGGCAAATCAATACACTTCACTTGACTGATACTTTAATCAAATAAGTACGTGAAAAAAAAGACAATCGAAAAAGGATTCAAAATACTTACTTCATCATCTTTGAATAAATCAGGAACGTAAGAGATGCTTCCGAATGTGAGTAAAACACTTAGTATGATATAGCTATTCAGTGTTGGTACCGGTATTTGCCGAACAAAACTGTTCAAGCCTCCCAAAGGATCGAATATTATCTGCGGCATTTTGTTGCTCTGAAGTGTTTGCCCTGAAAGGAAAACGGTAGAATTTAACAAATCTGTAGTTCTATGTAGAGGCACGATCTATCAAGCAGCAACGAAATTACAATACATGAAACGCGGTTGACATCCTTCCATTCGATGTAGCAATGAAGAAGTTAATGCAAACTGGCCAGCTCTGTTCAACTTTAGTTTAATTTTGTAATGGCACTTCTGCTCTTTCGCAACTACTAAACACCGAACCCCCACTCTGTTTTCAACGCACTATAATAAATATTATTATCTATTCAGTGGTTCATATGGACAACGCCAAACGTTTGCGCCGAGCCGGAGCCAATTCTTAATGGCATGGCTTAAGCATTTACTTCGTTTTGGATGTGCACAGATCCACGTTTCAACAGGCAAACTATACAATTATCCAAATCCGAATCCAGCTTCAAGATTTGCGTGAAGTAAAGCAGAAAACCATATGGAAATCCTGTGAACCTCGTACGGATAAAGCAGTACGGATTTCACGCAGTTGTACGCCTAACATAAACCTGAAATTAAGCACAAGTAAAAGCATACGTTTAAGAGTATGTGAACTCATGCTTAATTTGAGCGTGACAGGCCAACGTATACCAGTCTGTACCATTTCATCCGTACGAATTTTACAGATTGCCATGATGTGGAAGCGGGTGACCGACAAATGCATCCACGACAAGTCTAACTCCGACATTCTACTCAATGATCAGGTATGACTTTCGCGGCGCAAATTGTCGGAGTGGCACTTGTCGTGGAGCAAATTGTCGTAGACCCCGTGGAAGGGTGCATATTTCATAACATACGTCAAGCAGTTGCCAACAATGCGGTAGTGTGTGCGCTCTAGTGCAGATTTGGAGTTGTTTAATACGTGGCGATTTTCATGAAGATGCGCGGAGTAATTATGGTGGGGTGATTAGAGTTTTGCATGAACTCGTTAATTTATGTTTTAGATATTCACTGATTTCGAGTCGAAGCACAAAAATATACATCTCTGTCGAAAAATAACAACTTCCGAAGGAAAACCATCATTAAAGAATATGATTTGGACATAACTAACAATAAGCATTGGCTTATGCGGGATTAAGTGCCGCATGATCATCATCATCATCAGTTCTTAAAAACTTCTTGGCACTCTCGTGCCCTCGAAGAATCGGTTTCGGCTCATCGTGAGTCGTGAGAGCTACCAGAGCAGATCGTCTGAAACTGGGCGTCGATGGTGAGTAATATGAAAAAACTAACGACCTAATATTTTGGGTCATTTGAGGAAAAACAGTTATCGGGTTTCTATACAGGAAGTTACCAAACAAAAGTATATATCACATTCTCTGAAATAATATAATTCCATCTTCATTCCATCCATCTCACTTTGAACGGTGTGGGTCGAACTAAATAACGGGCGTGAATCAAAGCAGCATGAAGACGGAGAGTGTGTGCCAGCTGTTTTCACACCTCTCGAAACAGAGGAGAGCACTAACAGACATGTGAACGAATGTGGTTGCGATGGAGGGAGAGAAATGAAATGAACAATTGGTGCGATTGAAGAACCATCAAACAATGGAAGTATCTGAGATATTGCAAACTGAATTTTAAGATAAATCATACGCAGTGTGGTAAATTTTGGAGCGCATGAAGAACCTTATCAAAAAGCGTTCTCAGTGTGAAGACCGTCGTGAACTTTGTTCGGAGATCAGTTCGCCGAAGTGAGACTTGCTACTGTCGGATGAGACTTGCTACTGTCGGATGAGACTTGCTACTGTCGGATGAGACTTGCTACTGTCGGATTCAGCTGATTCTCAGTTTTAAGAGAAGTGTCTAAGTTATAGAGCAATTTTGGATACTTCCCTTGTATACAGTTCAACTACGCCAGGTGTGTCTAAAAGTGCGCGATTTCATTACTACCGGGCCATCATAATTAACATTTTCAAACTAGTTCTACCAACTTCGGCGAGGTGATCTCTGCAAAAAGTTCACGGCGATCTTCAAACAAAGCACGGTTTTTGATAACGCATTTCATGCGCTTCAAAACGTATATTTTCGATTTTCCGAATCAGATTTCCAACCATAATCACGCCTTAAATGCGCAGGTGTCACTAAATTTCATGAATATTCTCATTTCGCCGAGGTGTCCTCTGAAAAAAGTTCGCGACGATCTCCAAACTGAGAACGGTGTCTGATAACGCTGTCATGCGCTCCAAAATTTACCACATTGCGTATGATTTATCTTAAAATTCAGTTTGCAATATCTCAAATACTTCCATTGTTTGATGGTTCTTCAATCGCACCAATTGTTCATCTCATTTCTCTCCCTCCATCGCAACCACATTCGTTCACACCTGAACGAGCACAGGTAGTGCTTCAATAATTTATGGGTTTTACGTTTGTTCATGTGTTTTTCTTGCGTTTTTTTTCCAATCCCTTCTCTGCTGTGGAAATTTTGGAAAATCTATCTATCTCTTAATGGATCTCTGCCCCTTCTCGAGGTGATCCCCCATCAAATTCTTGGAAAGCTGTAAGCTGTATTTTCCGAGGTCTATATTGAGAGAAACACTGAGTATTATGCATATGGGTACAACTGTTGAAGTTCGGGGTGTTTTGACTTTATGGGTAAAACCTAAGCATGTTGGTTACTTGAAAACGATACATTCTGAAATGTGCACGGTTCGAATCATTTGCGCGCAACTATACCATTAGCATGGATACAAGTCAATGATTAGGTAAGAACCTAATCATTGCCTGGTTTGGGGTTGACAACATCAATGACATTCGCTTTTGAACAAAACATCCCCAGATTTCATAGCAGTTTAGGGTTGGATGCTCTAAAAGAATGACAATGAGCTATTGCAGAGACCGTCCAGCCTTCACTGAATGGTTATGATGAGTTTGCAATTCGTTTTTCGGTACACATATTGCGAATTTGATCTGATGAGCGTCAAGCGTCAAGACCAGAACGAACTCATCCACTCACAATCACTTGAACAGTTAGTTCAATGCAAACTAAATCAGAGCTTGGCGTATGCTCAATAACATCTGCGACACTGGTATGCCCTTCGGTTTCGAGCTTAACTCTCCCTCGCAAGCCGGACTAGAACTCAGCACAACCATTAGATGTAGGTACAGCGACCACCGCGATAGCTCATTCAGTTAGGGCTGGGTTTATCAACTGGGGGTGCTAAATAGCATGCCAAGGGGTGCAAGTGAGGGTGGGATGAAAGGGAGTGCGAGAATGAGTCCGATGAGAGAAGGTGAGTGAGGAGTGCCATATAAGGTTTTATATTTTATACAATAAGTAATCGAGGACGGAGCTCAATCCATATATGTGTGTAAAGTAGGCGAAGATGGACTTTAACGTATGTATTTTAAAAAAAAAAAA